TCGGATTAGAGATAGAACAGTATATTTCATACGAATAAAAGATGTATGGTAACATTTAACAGGGACCACGCCTGCAAGCCCGAGCCATGCCATCCGATCAACTCCAGTTGATTCAACTCATTGTTCCCGCCTTCTTCATCGTTGGGTTTTTCTACGCGGTAAATGTTGAACATCTAGTTCTCCAATTGTTTCATGTTCAGATTTGATGATTATGTGGTTAGGGCCCAGTGCCACTACAGGCTAACCGATAACTCGTTCGCTAGAAAGCTCACTCGTCCCACGGATTAGCACTGACCATCATAACTCGTTTTCATTTCTACAACCATATCATTCGAAAAAATTTAACTTCGAAGAAAACCCTTCCATTTCGAGATTCGGTACCACATTTATGTTAGAGGAGGCAAGTTATCTCCCACTCCTACGTTGTTCATTTCCTTCGCTAAACTAGCATTAGTCAGAGTATAGTCTGACCTGTTATCTAATATGACACAAGCATCATTGTAGTGTTTGTATGAACTATCGCTTCCTATGTACTTGTTGAATGCTTGATTTCGAGTTACAAATGCAGTACATTTGTTCGTGTTTATCTATTACTTCTTGGTTCTATCGCGTTATTACTGGGATTTTTAGTTTGTATTATAATTCAAATATTCCTAATTATCATATTTATCACACAGTTTACGGCTTCATATCGTAAGATAACATCTAGAAACACACAATTTCATACTCCCTCACTTATTAGATGACTGGTTTGAATTCCGTCAGGAACTAACCTTTCAGCCTTTAAGAGTGAGTGATTTAATTACCATTCAACCCACAATTCCTGTTTGTGCTCAATTCAGAATCACGGACAAATTGTGAACATATTTACAATCCAAAATCAGATAATGCCACAATAAAAAAATTTGAGGATCATGTAGATAGTTTGTGTTTTTGTTTAAAAATCATCCAAGATGTTTTTGTCGACTGTTATGAACACATAATTTTTTAAATAATCCAAAACACAGGTTACACAGAGTCTAGAAACAAAGCAATAGTCTCAACAGTAAGAATAAAACCACAAAACCACGGTTAGGAAGGTTAATATAGAAAGATTAAAACCTGAGCATGATAAAAATATCAAGGGAACAATTTGCACAGTAATAATTAACTATAAGTGAGATACTTCAATATTCAATAGCAGGAAACATGACTAAAATGTTTCACGGCTAATACACAGACAACCAACGTTGTCTAAATACGCTTTTGCAACTTATTCTTCAACTTATAAAGCCAAGAATAACCAACGATGTTAAAGTAGTCCAAGGTTTTTATCTCGTTAATTTTCGCCAAACGGTAAGTCGCAGAATTTTATTAATTATTGTTACTCGGTAACCGTATAATATATTCAGTAGTTTCCTCTTTTGCTCTTCTCTGAGTGTAAAACAAGTGTGTATGGTACATCATACACAAAAAATAGAATATTCGGAAGACTCAGTCATAGGAGAACTCATCGCGAGTGTTGAAGGTCTCACAGTGACTGATGCGAAAATGGTAATAGGAGAAGATCACAACAACGATCAATTTCTAGGTTTCAGAGCAGGTCATAAAATTCCAAACAATTTGGTTTGGTGCCGAATCAACCAGGTGCAGTCAAACATGTTCCAGGCCTGAACAGGCTCTTAAGAATATGGAAATTGAATAACCCCTTCACAGGTCCAGACTACTGAAGAGGTTTGCCTAAACGGTTAGTTGCTTTGTGTTAGAAACAGAAATTCGGCCCCGAACGTTTTGATGGATAAAGCTGTAGTACTTTGTGTCATGCATGCGAACAAAACTAAGCTGTGTCCAAAAACTTCCCTAGTTATAATCCAAGCTACCAATAAAAATAAAATTGCGACGCTTGAACAAAAGCGTTGAAGCTAGACTTACGGTTCCGAGAATAATTCCTCTGGTTTCTCATTGTAGCGGATTGAGATCTGGAAATATTTGAAATAGACATTTCAGGGAGATATGAATTTCTGGTCTACGCTAAGAAAGGACTTTTAACGCTTAAATAAACTCTGAATCATACAAAAAGGAAATAAAGTCACATCATTTTTCTAAATTATTTAGAATTTCAAACAGTAACAACTACCGAAACCCGGGATATACTCGCGGAATCGCCTGGCCTTACTAAATCAAACTCACAAATTTCCAAAAGTAGGCTAAATGTAAACCACATTATCATCAGTTAATGTTCACTTATTTTTGTTAGCCCCAGTAAACTAGCACCAGATAAGCCTAAAATCGCTAGAGCCGAATTCGATTACATGTTACAGCTGGTAACTCAATGTCTGTCTGATAGCTAATGGTAACCCCTACACCAAAGCTTGCAATCCCTCATGGGTTAGCATAAGTCGAACACCAGCATTCTCCATCCACCTCTGTCCTGAACAATCCTTACCAGTTCTTTTCTGTTACTATTAGTTCTTTCCATGTCCGCTTCCAATTTTCGACACAATTTATTCTTTATTCTTCCTCTTTTCCGTTTTCCTTCAGGATTACAAGTTTGCGCTTGCCTCGTGATGTAGTTTGATGACTTCCTCAACATGTGTCCTATCCACTTCCAACGTCCTTTCCTAGTTTCTTCTTCAGACAGAAGTGGATTTGTCTTATCCAACAGCAGGCTGTTGCTGATGATATCCGGACAACGGACACTGAGTAACTTTTCTAGACAATTGTTTATAAGTACTTGTACTACTTTGATGATGGCTGTCCATTGCATTCCGTGCTTTCCGTTAGATGTCGAAGTCTTCATAATCCAGTCAGCCTACAGCGGAAAGAGGAACGAGGAGAGTAAGCAGCCTTATCTGACTCTGATCCCCACTTAAAAAGCGTCTGTCAGTTGTGCTCCATGCATCACTTTTCAGTGCAGTCCGTTGTATGAATTCCGGATGATGTTGACGATTTCTTAGGTGCTCTATAGGGCCGAAGAAAATTTTCATAATGTTCTTCTACCCACACTGTTAAATTCTTTCTCATAATCAAGGAAGTTGATGTATGGTGACGAGTTCCACTCATCTGATTGTTCAACAATGATCCGTAATGTCGCGTGTCGGTCTGCACACAACCGATCCTAACGGAATCCAACCTGTTTATCTCAAAGTTGGACAGTCACTTAGTCTTTCATCCGGTTCGGTAACACTTGAAAACGTCTCCTGGTAATGAAAGTGGTTTGAATCCTCTGTAGTTTACAATTGCTCAGATCTCTTTTCTTTAGCATTTTGATGAGGTGTCCTTCCTTCCAGTCCGTTGGCACTTGTTTTCCTCCAAAATATTCTTGAATAGAACATGAGGCATGTTTGCAGTTGCTCCTATGCATGGCTTCAGTGCTTCGGCTGGTATATTGTCAGATCTCGCTGCTTTCCCACTTTTGATTCATCTGATGGAAATCCAGATTTCTTCCGTCGTTGGTAGAGTGACATGTATAGGAACGTCTGTAGGTACTTCTTCAATATCCGGTGGATTCAATGGATCCGATCTATTTAAGTGTTCCTCAAAGTATTAAACACATCCGTTCATCTGTCCTTGAATTTCAGTGATTGGCTTGTCTTCCTCGTCCATGACTGGTCTCTCTGGTTCACTGTATTTCCCTGCCAGCTTCTTCGTCGTGTCATATAGTCGTCTGATAGTTTGATCTCCTGAGGCGTTTTTCATTGTCGATGCTAGTTCTTCCACGTATTTCTGCTTGTTCGCTCCAATGCACTACTTCTTTGTGTGGGGATATTATGTTGTCTATAACTAATTTGTTGAGTGCACATGGGCATACAAAGAGTTTAAATTTCTCTTTCTTGTTAGTGTTTTTCTTAGGCTGGTTGGTATATACAGACTGAGATTTTTGACCCCCTTTCCAATTCTACTCATTTTCGCGACTTCGTTGTTCACAATAACCCACGAAGAGCTACAAGATGAGTGATTTTTACATTAGTATCTAATAAATATTCAAAGCTTTTAGCCACGATGATGTCAGGATCTTTTCAGCTTAACATCCAGTTCTTTTTTGTCACAAACTCCGTAATTGCATACGATCGGCCGGCCCTAGTCTCGAAAGAGATATTTTCATGTTTGAAAGTTTAGATAGTTCAGATCTAGTTTGCCACTGGAACCTCAAAGTCTATTTCATTTGTCAGTAAAAAGGCTTAGAGGTAACTTGAACATGCTTTACGTAGGGTAGTAACAATTTTTCATCCGTGTGTTTATTTTTCTCGTTCTCTTGAGCGAAAGCCCACGAAGATGGTTGAGAAATCTACGCAAGTTTAGGGTCAGTTTCTCGACAGATGACTATCGATATCCCCATAAAAACTTTAACCAGTATGAGCTTTAATTTGGTTGCGGTTTTATGCAGTAGACGTTTTAAAAGATAATTGTCAAGTTTAACTAATGCTAATAAGCCTCTGGTCGTTCCGAAACTGATATTGAAACCCCAAATAATTGTTTGGTAAATTTTTGTTTCTATAATATAATCTCACTGGTTGAAATCATGACTCAATTGAAGCTAGACCACCATGGAAAACCTGGAAGCACTGAACGGCCGTTTCATTCTAGTATGGAACTCCTCAACATAGCACATCCACGATCACACACCGCGTGATATTCGAACACAGGATTTACCGGTCTCGGGCCATGCACTTAACAAATTTGACAACTGAGTTGACCAGCATCCAACTGTGTTAATGTCTAACTACAAACAATCCACGAAGTTGCACCACCGTACACCATTGTCTTCAGTGAGTTTACGAAACGGCCGTCCTGTGCTTCCAGTTTTTCTATGGTGGTCTAGCTTCGATCGACTCATGATTTCAATCAGCGAAATTTCTAAAAAATCTCCACAAAACCATTTTAAGAATATGATATATTCGCTAAATCGAAAAAATAAATAAAAAGACTGAAGGTTCTCGCTTTACCATGAATGTTTATAGTATTGGACATTGTCACGCTTTTAAATGATTTAACTTTTCAATATTTCATTTGCATGCATTAAAGCACGTGGACGTTTTGAATATTGTGTACTTGTTTTCGTGCTACATAGGAATATGGGGAAATCCAAGAAAGAAAACAAAAATAGTAACGCTAATGAATCAGTTACACTGAAGAAGGAGGTTTCAGTGTTACAAGGTGTGAGTATTGTTGTCGGTGTTATCATTGGTTCCGGTATATTTGTTTCACCTGTTGGAGTTCTGAAACACACTAAATCCGTCGGATTGTCATTTATTATGTGGACTATCACTGGATTATTCAGTGCATTAGGTAATCTATCACACTTATTGATCTTATGGAGACCAAGGTGCCATCGTGTACGCTGAACTAGGTGTTACTATTCCTCGATCTGGTGGAGAATATATTTACATACTCCAGACTTTCGGACCTTTACTTGGCTTCCTATCTTTCTGGATTACATTTGTCGTAATTGGATCTGCAAGTTGTGCAGCAAATGCGCTTATTTTCGCCCAATATATCCTTCGACCTGTTTATATGGACTGTGTTACTCCTCCTATCGCGATACGCACGGTTGCAGTGTTAGGACTGCGTAAGTGTTACATAATTTTATTTCCGAATCAAGTTCTTCTTTGCTTTGTGCACTGTTTCAGCGTTAAACTGGCAACGAAAGTCGCTGTTGTCTTCACTGCTTGCAAGGTTACAGCTTTACTTATCATAATTGGTTTCGGCCTCTACTATCTGGGGAAAGGTAAAGTTAACTTCCATATATAACTTATATAAGTATTTTCTTCGTTTCCTGACTGCCCCTTATTGTTTAAATAGGCAATGTTGAGAGTTTCAAAGAACCCTTTGAAGATAGCGAAATATCACCCGGTGAACTTGCATTGGGTTTTTACCAAGGGTTTTGGGCTTTTTCTGGTTGGTAAGTTGTTTGAATGTCCCGTTTTATTCAGTAACTAAGTGCAACCATGTAAAACTTGTTTATTGTGTTAACTGTAGACTGGCAATAGTTTTGACATCCTTAAATACCAAACTTTGTCTTAGTAAATTGTGAATCGCATCTTTTTGCTATAAAATTCAGAAAAGTACTTCGTGTATCAGAAAACGTTTTCTGAATTAATTCTGTCATATAATTTACTATGCTTCGATATAATTATATACTAACTCTATCTACAAGGCTCCAAAATATTGGCAATATTAAATCTACAATATATTAGGCCCCTGAATACTATTGCTCTACATGGGGAATGTTTTGAATTTGTGGTTATTTCGTTCCCATTATATTTCTTAAGTAAATTAGTAATTTCAATTCATTGATAGCTAGGTGATGATAACCTGTTTCCGTCTATTACCTTTACTGTTCTACATAAACTTGAGCACAAACTGTCTTAAGCAGACATAAATTCATCCCTTTAGGCAATAAAGATACATGGTTCCCAACCCACTTATGTTGTGTCATCAGAAAGCAAAGTCGGACAACAACAATAAATTCCCATTTGTCTTTCGTGAATTCACGCGTACTGTAGGCATAATTATAAATAAGAGTTACGGGTGTTTTGGCTTTGGTATCGCACCGGTTGATTGGGTCTCCAGTATTAGTCGGTCACGTGCTGTTAAATTAGAAAGTCCGATCAAAGTGCGAAGAAATCGGTGTGAGGAATGATGTCTTTCCTTCATCGTTTACGCTCCGACAGGATCCAGCCCGGATAGGTATGCTCAGGTCAGGCGTTTAGGCAAAGAAGAGAGTCGGTTAGGTGGCTGATGGGGACTTGTTGGTCGCATGTCAGATAATGGTGACCGTCTACTGCAACTTTGCGCAGACTACAAACGGTTTCTGGCTACCACTAACTATCAGAACAGTCATCGCTGATGTGCCGACTGGCGTCCTCCTCCGTATCTCAAGCCAGGACTCAGAGTGATCACATCGCAATCAGCTACGACTGGCGTTGGTATGTACAAAACTACCGCTCTTTTTGGGGTACCTATCTGGACTCTGAGCATGCTCTTGTTTGCGTTTCAGTGACCAGCAAATTCATCGTTTTAAACGGATCGATGTCAGCAAATCGGTTGAAAATTCTGTTGCAACTAAATATCATACTGAGCTTGGTTCAAGGCTGGTTGTCAACCAATCGAAACGTATTGGTGAGCATTGCCTGCAGTTGTATGACCCCATGAAAATCACGAGCAAAGTCGCTTGCGGCTTTGCGAAACGTCCCGCTTATAAGCACTGTCTTTTTTTCAGGCTCCTTACAACTTGTTGAAGTACGTCGGTTTATTTCGGGTAATGTGAATATATGAAGAATGTTACGCAACTAATTTGTGCAAAGTTCGAGTAAGGAATGAGAGGTCTGGTGATCGTAGCACTACAAATCACCAGCTCAAGGTGACGTACCTCCGGCCTTTTGTAAAGTTGGTGGCGACCTTCTGGTTATGGAATTGACTGAGTTATTTTAAAAGGTCTGGCAATTAGAGAGTGTTCCAACATCGTGGAATGATTCGACATTTCTTCCTATTTTCTAAAAGGATTCATGTCGTTTCTGTAACAACCATCGGGGGATAACTCTTCATCCGGTCGCTTTTACAAACAGTTGGCTTCCGTCATACTTCGTAGATTTTTCAAAACCCGAGAAAGATTGACTCGCGTGGAGTAGGCTGGTTTTTGCTGTGGTCAAAGATGTATTGATCACATCTTCACCCTCTGGGGTCTTAGAGATAGTGCAATATAATAGCTAGAGACATTATCAGACATGACCCAAAATAGAAGCCAGTTGCGATCCTGTTGTAACTTTCTTTTACTTTCTTGATAAGAAATGAACATAACTTCCTTAACTGAAAGAATTTTTTCTAGTCGTATTTTTGCTAACTGAACTCTTTCTCCTATTATTATTATTATTATTATTATTATTATTATTATTATTATTATTATTATTATTATTATTCCATTCTCATACACTAATTTCTGTTCATTATTGTTATTTTTTATTATGCTCACTTTACATTCTCTACCTTTTAAAAACCACATTGTTATTGGATGGGGCATGTATTTGTTTCCCCCCTTGTACCAATGTTAATGTGTCCAAATAAATAAATAAATAAAGTCTGATATCTGTTCTGAATTTCACCCAAGTAAGTTGGAAAAGAGATAGCCTTCCAAATCCATGATAAGTCCACAACATATTTTTCTGAGTTATTGATAAAGTATGTTCATATAAGTTTCCCCCCAAGAAACAGATATTTGAGGAGTATTTAGTTTAAATATTTCAATTTATTTTGCACTTTATTTCTCGTTGAACATGACTGGAAAATGAGACATCAGGTTGTTTGATCCTTTTGGATTGTATTCTTATTTGTTTTGTAGGAATTATCTCAACTTTTTGACAGGAGAAGTAAAAAATCCAGGAAGGTAAGTAATGATATTTTATTTATCCTTATTTATCTGATCATATGTATAACTATCAATCTAAATAAAACAAAAGGGGTGGTTTGAAAATAAAAAAATGGTTTGACAGTAAACACTGAAATACCTCAGTTATTCGTAAAGTAGTAAATCTATAAATGCTTGATATTTCCTCTACGAGTTGAAGTTTTTATATTTTCGTTTCTATCTACATATCGTGCTATGTTGCAAAGTTGAAACTCTGGCCACGTGTTCAAAACATCATACCTCGAACATGTAAAAAGTGTTCGAACCCATTACATACTTTTATCCGAATTTGCGAGTAGTTCCTGTTCCCATAATATTAGTTGTGCATAGACTAGTATGTAAACCTGTGTTAAAAAGTGTGGATCTTCTTATTAAACAACGATAGTTCATCGACCATTCTAAATGAAGTGACTTACAAAGGCAAACAGAAAATAAATGAAATCGAAGACGTTATGTATACTGAGAAAGTTGAGTGTGAAAAGTTCTGTTATTTTTACCGGTAAAATATATTGTTTTCTGACCAAAACTCCTGCAAATTACAACTGTATAAAATAGCTTGCAGCATCCATACTAAATAATTGGATGATGTCAAGCATTATGGTACTCAGATTACTTCAGTAACATAAATGAAGTCAAATTAGTTACCGTAAAGGCACTTGAGATCTACATTCTAAGTTATTAACATCATATAGTGAAGATATTTGTAATAAATACCAAGCCTTCGCTAGTTGTAAAACTGATTACTTAAACAAGTTAATTCGACTTTTTATACACAGGACACTACCGATCGTAATTATACTCTCACTCACAACAGTAACGCTCATCTACATTTTGACCAATGTGGCCTACCTTGCAGTTTTATCACCATTAGAAGTTCTTGCCTCAGAAGGTTCTACTGCAATAGCTGTGGTGAGTATTTCCTCAATATTTCACGAGTCTATTATAAATATTCCATAAGTTAAATACTACATAAATTCATGTTCTTTAATATTTTATGGAAAAGTAAACTTTTTTGAAGTGCTTCACTATTATTTGATCGTTCGAATAGAAACAGGTAGTTTTTTCTATAATTTTAAAGTCCCATCCACAAAGCTCCAAGGCAATACAGCGATTCGTATTCATATTGTACTGGGTATTCAGTGGTATTATATATGCCTTTTTATTTAGTCCCAAAGTATACGTTTGACATTTATTTTAAATCAGGATTTTGTAGTGTCTAATGCAAAACTGCAACGACATCCATCGTAAGTCTGAAGTAAACACCAACGTTGCAAAAATAAAATGATCAGGTGTTCCTCGGTAAAGGACATGCTAGGTCGCTATATGACAGTTATTTGAGTGACAGGTTGGTGTTCTTAGTGACTCGTGGCATAGAACGAATATTATCAAAATGATTGGATTCTTTGTCTCATCAGGATTGTAGAGCAAAGTGCTTTACGTAAAGCTCAAGCGACCTCCGCCTTTGACAACCATTTATATTGTACAAATTCTTTGTGTTGTTACCTGGCATATATCCAACTTGCCAGACTGTATGCCTGAGGATAAGCCCCCTAAATTTGAAACACAACTAACCATTAATAATAAATACCATTAGTGGAGTACGCAGTTGTTCACTCATTATGTAGAATTTCTGAACACTACATACATCGATAGGGGAATATCTGGGATTTTTTCCCCATATAAATGTGTATATTTGAATGTTTATTCCAACTATGGGGAAGTAACCTAATTGAGTATCCTGACCACTTAACTGAACTTAGAAGTTTTATAAACCCTAGTGGGTTGGTAGCTGACGGATTTTTGTTATGAATACAACAAGCCTTGCTTAACATCTGCCGACTTGTATTACTGTTTTTGCGGCAAGATATCTGTCTAGTTATCAGAGAGCGAGTAAACCGTATAACAATTCACCCTAAATCAACTATTAGCACTTCTTTAATTTTCACCACATTGGTTTAGTTTCCCTATAGTTTACAGTGAATCGAACTGATGCACTCTTACACCATGATCCACTTTGATAATGACTGACTAAGTTAAGAATATATGTATACTGTAATGATCAAAATAATCCCTGATTATGTGTAGCTCCGTTCTCAACGAAAATAATTGTCCTTAATTGTGCAAAGCCCAAACAGATTTATAAGATGTCTGTTCTTCACTGTTCTCAAAAATTCTGGTCAAATATCCTGGTTAGAAAAATAAAAGACTTCATTTATGTGGATAGTTAATTTTTTTGCAGTATCCATGATTTATTTTGTTTTCATACCAGTTCTTCTACTTTCCTTTGAACAAAACATGTAATTTTTTTGTAAATACACTTACACACTAGTTTACACAACTCAAAAGTTTTCATATATCCCCGTATATCTTCTAAACTTCGTATAGAGCTTTGCATCAAGAACTATGGGGGTTGTGGGTTTGGTAATGCCAGCTCTTGTGGGTGCTTCAGTCTTTGGCAGCATAAATGGTGAGGTATTCTCTATTTCCCGGTAAGCGTTCTACCACTTTTGTTCTCGTTTTTTTTTAATTCACTGTGAACTATTATTCTATAAACATTCCACAGTTTATTGGAACACTTGCTTCATTATCAATAATCTCCATTTGTCACTGTATCTGCATAATAATATGCCCTAGTAAACAAAGTTCCTTACGAAACCAATTTGGCGAGTTTGCGCTGTAAATACCGAATATTTTAGGAAATTTTGGCAATTCGAAAAGATCTTAGCCAGATTAAACGTAACTGGAATTAGGACGCTGGTAAGGAACTATTTTTTTCTGACTAGAAGTGATTGGGGTCAACGACAATGCAGGAATTTGGTGAACTTGACATCAAGTAGTGGGAAACATTACTTTCAATGACCAAGTTTTCCTTTTTCTTCACATTTTACTCGGCTTTAAATGCTTAATTAAATATCAGTAATAATAAAACCATTAAGAACGAACATAGATGTTTTTATGGGATTTATTTAGTCATTTATTGTTATTTTCAGCTGAACGCAGTTACCTCCCGAACCTATTTTAGCAATAGAAAACAATTTAGTTGAAAGCAACGAATTCTGAGATCAATACTTTACGTCAGCTTTCCGGTTAACACTTATACGAATACCGAAAGCTCAGATGTCATTTGATGAACTAACCTAACTATCACCTTAGAGATGCCTGTGAAGTGACAAACATTTTATGTATTTGTAAATTACTGAAACGGTCTTTATGGCATTAATTATAGTAATAACAATCTCCCTCTTGAGTAAATCTTGAGGACAGTAAACACGACAAACTGAAACAGATTGTAGGCCTGGTACCAAGGACTCGTATAAGAAATTATAATTAGATATCATCAGGGGTAAATTTGTCATGGTATATCTACTCTTTATCTTTTCAACCTTGTCGATGACTTCTGCATGTAAGTACGTCAGATATTTCTGACTGACTTCCTACTTGGATATATTCTAATGAATATACTGTGCACAATCCATTCCACATCTCAAATACAGTGTTGCTTACTAGCTGACCTTTACTTACGCTTAAGTCCAGTCACAGATAATAACAGTTAATGGCACAAATCACTTCATTTAGCAGCTCCACCAGTTCTAGTGACTACTGAAATACTAGTATACATGTGATGAAAGGCGTTATTACATCTACCAAATTTGTGTATGGGTATTGAATTAAAAAGGAAGACAAAGCTGATTTGTGAAGTGTTTAACAGTAAATCTCTCATTATGTGACAATGATAAGTGACCGTTCATTTAGTATAATTTATTGTGGTTAAGAATGTTTAATCACTTATTTCTTTGACACATTTGTCGCTTCTGAATTCATAATTGGTTGAGGTTGTTTATATTACGAGTGAGTTATTGTGTCCTCAATGTTCATCCCAATATTCCAAACGTTTTTATTATCTATCTTTCTCGAGATTTTAAATATTTAATAACTCTCATTCATGAAAACTTTTTGATATCTTGTTTATCTCACTTTGCTTCTTTCCCATTTACTTAACTTAAGCTTTATCACAATGTTGCAATGGATACTAATTAAAATCTGTGATGTTATTAATAATCACACAAAGACTTATCAAGTTTATTTAATACCTATCGGGGAATTTTTAACTTTTCATTGAATTACTCCACAGTCAAATAGTGACATTTTTTAAATCTTGTTCAAACTTCTAAATAAATGGTTGCTCTGGTTGTGAGAAGGGGCATCGGCCTCGTGGCTTCCGAAGGAACTCGTCTTTCATCATGAGGCGTCATAGTTCTTCTAAATGAAGACCTTCTGACTCCCAGGGCAGAGTTTAAAAGGTTTGAATATTTTTTTCTGGTTAGCATTTTTTAGCGAGTTAGTTTTCTACGGGATGTGGTCGCTAACCCCTTGCCCAACCCTCCTCCTTTGTCCGGGCTTGGGACCGGCAGTAGCCTCCAGAGGGACTCCAGGCGGAGTTTTGAATAAACATTTAATTGTCCAATTTGAATTCGACAAGTGTATATAATACATACAAATTAATCGAGATAATTAAGACTAAGCAAATGAGTCATTCTTGTTATAGTTCAAAATATTTAGTTTAACTTTTGTTAAAAACTTGAAACATCTATGTTTATTCAATTTTATTAAATATTTTGGTTTTAATTTTAGACTAGCATTTACTGCTGGTGAAGAAGGACATATGCCTGCTCTTCTTTCAATGGTTAATATTGACCGTTTAACTCCAATTCCATCTATATTAATTGTAGTAAGTTAGTTTTTGAAATTATCACTTTCTTCATAACACCAATATTTCATACTGTTGTGATAATAGATTTCAAAAATTTTTCCAAGATTATTTCCCTAGATTAATAAGATTTCTATCCTGTTTAAGACGACAGCCTTTAAGATTATTCATTTAGGTATTTTTCTTGTGATAAAGCCTCAATATATACCCTACTACTATGTTTTCACATTCTATTTGCTTCCTATAGTTGTGAAGGTAAAATATCATCCGACCGTATTATCAAATGCTTCAGAAAATTATATACATATATATATATAGTTTAGGTCAACTGTTATTAGACTTATTTGTAAACGGCCTAAGATCAGTTTTATTCATTGATCTTTTACCCTTCCAAGAGTTTCTAATGTAATATTATTCTATACGTTTTATCTCCTGATTTTTTTGTTTTTTTGGATTTTCTTTCTATACTGACACAAAACTAGACAACTTTAACTGACACATATTTGTGCAAACCGTTAAGTAATTTACGTTGAATATCCATGTATCTGGTTTTGGGGTACTAGTATGGCTGTACTATAAGTAAATGCTTTGATGTCCATGTTAGTTAAGATTTGATATCAAGTCTGCTAAGCAATATTTTTTTACTGTTCTCTGTACACTGTATGTAAAATTTGTCGTCAGTTGAATATTCTGCCCAAAAATCAAGTATTTATATCTTCATTTGTTTTCATAGGTAACTCTATCTGTAATTTTTCAACAGTTCGATGACATACTTTATTTGATCGAGTTAACGGGTTTTGCTTTCTCTGTAATGTCTGCGATGGCTGTTTGCAGCTTACTCTACATTCGTCGTACAAATCCTCAAATGAATACATCAGGATTTAAAGTAATTCATTTCTTTGTTCGTAAATGTAACTCAGCAATTATTCAGTTGCTTGACAACTTATTACTTCTAAATGCTGAACTGTCTTTTAATCACTGCAGGTACTAGGTTTTATATTATTTATTATCTTACCATAACACTAAAATATCCCCAACTATATTATATCATACTTATCCTGTACAAATTAACATTTAAAGGATAATCTTTGTGAAATGCTACAATAATGGCTATCAACTAAGTTGTGATGAATTAAGAGAATGGAAGGAGTGTATAATTAGAGCAAATAAATGTAAAGTAAACTTTTATCAGGCGCCTTTCAGCAACTATCTGTAAGATATGCGGAATGCTTATCATGGTTTAATTATTTCTTGTTAATAAGGTTAATATTTATGTAAATGTGAAACCATGCTATCTAAGGTAATAGTCCACAATGCATTGATTATTTAAAAGTACTATCTGAAATAAAATCAAATTATGTTTCCCTTATTATCATTGATTATTAACATTGATTAAACAGTATTATAAAGGATAGTATGAGAACAAGCGATTTTGCAAAACTATTAGGATGATTTAAATAATCGAGCTGATTATGGACTCACTAAAGTAAATCCTAAAATTTAAGGCAAACTAATTTAGAAAAGCGATTAACTAAAACTCGTCTGTATGCAAACTATTCAATCATTGTAATATGACTTATTAGCAGGAAAATAATGAATTTAGTACAGAACTAAACATCTCGAAACAACCAAATACATCATCACTTCAGCTTATATATCATAATGATTATGCATCATTTTGAAAGGCGTTACCCGGCATTTTATATTCTAAAATGTAAAAATTACTATTTATATGCTAGTTTGTGTTATATTTCTAAAATGTATTTTGGTTTATTCAAACATTTAACCAATTATTCTCGATTATTTATCATTTAAATTTTTTCAGTTACCAATCTTTTTTCCTGTGTTGTATTTAATTGTGGACATTGCGATTGGAATCCTTGCAATCTATCAAAAGCCGACAGATTGTGCAATTAGTATTGGAGTAATGTTACTAGGTGTTCCAGTTTACATTTTTGGGGTGGTATGGAAGAATAAACCAAGATCAATTAGATCTTTAATATGTATGTTACTTTCTTTGACTTGATAATAACTTAGTATTTACTAGGTACGCTTTACATTGTAAAGTTTTTTTAAAAAAAATGAATTTAAACCCACTGTTTTTGTATAATTTTTATCACGAAACTAACATTTCTCCAGTAGTGTAAATCAATAAAAGTATTCATATGTATTTCAGAGAGCTGAATTTGTCAATTTAGTTTTTGTTGTTTGGTTATATGAATAACTAACCTGAGTCCCAGTATAAATATAAAAAATCTTTTACTATCAAATAATTACCCTGATGTTAGGAAAAGGATTTCACGGCGTTTTTGTAACAACCATGGGGGATAGGTTTACATCCGATCGCATCCAAACCGTTGGTTTCCGTCATACTTCGAAGATCGTTCAGAACCCGAGAAAGATTGACTCTCGAGGAGTAGCCTGATTTTCGTTGTGATTGAGGATGTATTGATCATATCTTCACGCTCTGCCAAATATTAGAGCACCGTAATACTTATCAAAGGCCAACAATCGTAGTGTTTCTTGACATCAGGGCTGTCTTCGATTCGTTGGACAGGACTGTTCTCTGAAGTTGTTTAATGAAGAAGGGTGTGTCTGTGAGGTTTATTAACATCTTAAGAGCCCTATATACAAACACCTCGGGTAGAGTGAGGGCATGCAACCACCTCTTTCCACTATTCCATTCAACCAGTGGGGTTAATTATGGTTGCCCAATCTCACCATTCCTCTTCAACTCTGCCATTGATGACGTTCTGGATACAGCTCTGATGGATGTAGGTAATGGTGGTATGAATCTGTTGACATCCAGTGGCAACATCATGTTAGTCATGCAAGAGGTTCGGCATTGTGTGTTTGGGCACAGCGACGATAATTTAGTTGGTGTTACTATCTTGAAACATCGACTTCGGTGGCTTGGACATGTTCTACGAAGGTCATCCCGGAAAATTCCGCATTATGAATTATTCGCCGACGCTGGGACCGATCCTGTTGTAACTTTCTTTTACTTTCTTAATAAGAAATGAACGGAACTTCTTTAACTGAAATAACTCTTTCTGGCTGTATTTTTGCTAACTGGATTGCCTCTACCATTATTATTATTTCACTCTCATATACTAATTTCTGTTCGCTATTGATCCCCTTTTTATTATATGCTTTTTACTTTATCTCTTCACATTCTCATTGTTATTATGTGGGGCGTATGTATTTGGTGCATCTTTGTACCAATACTCATGTGTTAAAACGAATAAATAAGGAAAACTTACACATATCTACATAATGATGATCGTATATTCCAACTCTGTTTCAAATTAGAAAAGTCTTTTTTCTGGTTTTCCTCATTTTAGTTTGCTTATAACGTTGACTCGACTACGTTTTTGCGAACCCCTACAATTTTATCGAGTAAAAGCAACGTTATCTTTAACTAATCAACCGCTAACATCCTAACTGGTTATACGTAGAGTAGCAAGTACTCACTAATTTAAGCTTTACTATTCGCGAGGATTTCAGGCATTATCATCATTTGGCGCTTACGTGATAAAGTGTATTTTAGCAGATAATTGATTGCTTGAGTAAACTAAAGATCACTATATATTTTGAAGCTTCACTTATTAAACTGATAAAGAATCTAAAGGTCTACCCAACTAGACGTAACATCTTTGTATACTATTAACTTAATCAGACAGAAAATTACAAAGTAAAAATTCAAGAAAAACATATGCGGCTATTCCTATTGTATAAGCTACGAATACTACCTAATAGTATTTGACTGGATTTCCACCGTTTACACTCAAATGGATATCTGAATAAGTAAGAATATTTCTTGTTCCTCGGTGGTCAATTCTCAAAAATTTTAAATTTCTCTTTAATAAATGATATGTCGTTGCGTGTAGTCTAACTTTGTAACATCATTGTGTGCTTTATTGGACTAGGTGTTCTGTAAATAATAATTATAACTTTTCTTCAGTCAGACTAGTGGATTTGAGTCTTTCGATTGAGACTTTTAGCTTGCAGATGAATATCTAACAACTGGTATCCGACAGCAACAAAGCTGCATTGGATATGAAAACTTATTACTATAATTATCAAATAAGCTTATATACTTGTTAAAAACCTGACTAATTCAAGTTTAATTCATATTATTATTGGCATATAGATCAATACTACTTGCTATTAAAAAACTCACTTATGCAACAATTTAAAAAAAATACTCCAATACAAATAAATAGGATTTATCCATTAATTTCTTTGACAACTTTCTAAAGACAATTATCCTATTAGAATTACGAAGTCGAGAGGACAAGAAGCGAATGTCTGGCGCTTTTACAAGGTTAGTGGATATCCCTGATTCCAAACCAACGGTGCACATCGGCTCCAGAATCCTGAAGGAACAAATGGAACAAATCGTTGGTCACCGGTTATCATGAGAATGAATCTCCTGACGTGTTGCCCCACTGTCCTGTAGATTTGACGTTTAGGTCGAAGGCTTCAAGCCTGGTCTCCACAGAAAACCAACTGCAATATCCCAGGTCTCACACAAATCGAGTGATTTATATGGTGTATATCTATTTGGTTACCTCCTTGTACCAATGTTTATATGTTCAAATAAATAAAATAAAATTTGAATGACAAGTTTTCGTACCTTAATACAATTTTATTTTTATTCTCCATTATGTTGTAGATGGTGTCACAGTCACTTTCCAAAAAGTTTTAAAAGTTGTTGAACAAGAAAAAGTCTCTGAAATATTAGAATTAGATGGTCATTTAAAATCTGTTGGTGATCAACTAGAAATATCATAAAAATATGATGATAATAAACAATAAATAAAAAGCTGCGCTTTATTCCTGTTGCCATTCAACAACAAAAAGTACATTTTATTTCTATATCTATAAACTTTTTATTATTATGAACATTTTTTTTAGAAAGAAAATTTATTTATTAAAACCTATTGACAATGAAATCTTATTTATTAAATTATTCCCATTATTCTTTATCATTATTACTACCTTAATTATTTCTGTTGATGAATATCATTGCTTCTTTTCTTGTTTATTTTTCTTTTCTTTCTTTTTAAAAAAGAAAAAGAAAAGAAAAACAATACCGCGCCTAAAATTACACTTGAAATTCATTCAATCAAAATAATGTTTCTATCATTTGTAAATTGAAGGTAACATTTTGTTTTAGTTGTTTGTTTGTTTTAATTTTTCCATAGGTTGCAGTATAAAACATTGAGCTGATTCATTTGATGTTGTATTGTGAAGAGATTTCTTTCTTTGTTTGTTTTTAAAGACATTGTATTCAATTTGCTAACATCTTCTTTGCCAGTTTTATTATTATTTTATCTTTGCGACTTCTTATTTTTTTATTCTAGATAGGTACGTTTTTTCTTATTCTTTAAGTGATTCACTTTATATGATCAGTAGAATAATCATCTTTTCTTTTTTCTTTTTCTAAGAAAACCTTTTTTGTATATCCTGAATTGTTTTGATATAGATCCTTTTTAAATAGATTGCAAGTTCATGTGTATGTACATAGTTTATACACAAAATTCTTGATAATGTTGAATAAATAAATAAATATATTTGGCTGTTTGTAAAGATTTATTCAAGTTTATGATTGGCTAATGATTGATTAGTAACTAACGACTTGTTTGTCTTTCCCTCGAATCTTCTGGTACAGTCGGGGGTGGGCAGAGTTAGCTCTCCATCTTGAAATACTCTCACATGGTCACACGTCTACAGCCACTTGCAGAGATGACCTACTCATTGCTTTCTCGTGGCATTACTGTTGTTTACGAAATTGAGAGGACACAAAGCGAATGTCTGACACTTTAACAGAGTTGGTGGACACTGAGGAACCAGATAGTGGAGTTGGAAATCCCCGTTTCTGAAGTAACATTTCACATGGGCTCCAGGATGCTGAAAGAACAAATAACGTATGAATCAAGAGTTGATCACCGTCTATCATGGGATCGCATCTGCTGACGTTGCTCCACTGCCTTATGGATCAGACATTTAGGTCGAAGTCTCTGAGTGTGCCCCACAGAAAACCATCTGCATCGGTCTGGGCACTCGGGTAGTATCTCATCCCACACACAAATCAAGATATTTGTGTGAAGCATATATATTCGTTGTCCCTTTGTACCAACACTTGTGTTCAAATAAACAATTTTCTGTTTTTTACTTACTACCGCATGTTACCCCTAATGGTGGATTACAGGTCGAACAACAGCATTTTTCATCCAACTCTGTCCTGGACAATCCTTTCCAGTTATTCCCAGTAGCTATTCATCCTTTTCATGTTTGCTTCCGATTCCCAACGCAATGTGTTCTTTGTTCTTTCTCTTTTCTGTTTTCCTTCAGGAGTACAAGTTTGCGCATGCCTTATGATGCAGATTAATGGTTTCCACAATGTATGTCCTATCCACTTCCAACGTCTTTTCCTAGTTTCTTCTTCAGACAGAAGTTGGTTTGTTCTCTCCCACAGTAGGCCGTTGCTGATGTTATCTGGACAGCGGACATTGAGTATCTTGCGTAGACAATTGTTTATAAATACCTGTACTCTTTTGATGATACTTGTGGTAGTTCTCCACGTTTCAGCTCCATACACTCGAACTATCTTGACATTCGTAGTGAAGATTCTGATTTTGATATTGGTTGATAGTTGCTTAGATCTCCATATGTACTTCAATTGTGGCAATGTGGCCATTGCTTCGTCAATCCTCGCCTTTACTTCTGCATTGCAACATCCATGATAATGATGCCCAACTACTTGAAAGATTCCACCTGGACCAGAGTTTGTCGGCCCGACAGAGTTTAGTTCTGTTGTAATAAAGGCATAGAAATGACGAATCTTCAGTTATATTTTCCTAAACATTTCATTGAAACATGAACAGTTAGTTCAAAGGCGAATAACATACATACATATACATATTTTAAGCTTTACCTGATCCATTAAAAAATCATTTAATCACAATAAAAAAATTAACTTACACTTTTGACTTCGTCCTAGCAATAACTCCTGTTAAAATATCCACTAATCATCAAAAGTAATCTGACAGTAAATGTTTGCTTTAGGATGTTTCTTCGTTCTCGGTATGTTACCTTCTAGTAGCTACAGCAGAACTGCTACGCTTCATAAAATCGAACTGTGTTATAATAATGTTTAACAAGTTGTTAATCTTTAAATCCATAACTTGTTTTTTTAGTAAGTAGTAAAGCCTAGCATAAATGTCCTATGCCGATTTATTTTTGCCATACATTTCATTTGTTATGAAGCTACCATCACAAAGGATAAATATCTGAAAATCCTGTTGTTCAATTTCAAGTTTTAAATTTTCAATCTTACTTGTCAATACCAAATCATAAGCCTAGGACTCCTATCACTAACATTGAAATTCTTCAGTTTACAGGTTGTGGAGATTGTTAAGTTTTCTTGACTGAGATCATGAACCGATTGATGTTAGACCACCATTGGAAACCTGGAAGAACTGGACGGCCGTTTCGTCCTATGTTCTCATGGATTTAGTCACTAGTGAGAACATGATAATTATGAGTTTAGAAGTTGTGGAGAAAATTCTCGGAGTTCTAGTGAGAAGGCATGACCAGTGGAGCTAATCTGTGTTGTATAGAAACAGGTGTCTACCTCAGTACAATGGAAGATGGTTGCGCAACTTCCTGGAGCCCATGTGAACCATTAGTTTGATATAGGGATTTCCAACTCCACTAGGTGGCTCCTCAGTATCCACCAACTCTGTTAAAGTGTCAGACATCAATCGGTTCATGATCTTAATTTTTAAAAAATGAAATCTTTCTTTCACTACTGGTCACATTGTCTCTTAATGTTATTTCGTTTCAATTGTTCTTAAGTTTGTTTGTAAACAACCTTTATAAACGAGAATTACATTAGTAATAGTTTTCTCAAAGAAAAATCAAGGTTTGTATTAATTTTATTGCATAAGTGTATAAAGGACAATTGAAATGTTATTACCTGTATTTACTTAGTTCAGCTATGATTCATATAAATCGTATAGGTAAAATTCAATCTCTACTGAATCATTACGTTACTCATCTTTAACTGGTTATAATTATAAATTAATGAAAGTCATTATTACTAACTTCAATTATTATAATCTCATAAAACATTTTGATTCATTGTCATGACCTTCGACATTAAAAAAACACACTAGTAATCGAATACAGATAACATAGAGTACGTGTTTAGAAGAAAGAAAATGAAATCAGTATAGAAAAAAAAGCGTCTTAACGACAAATAGTGAATTTCATAATTATGAACCTAACTGGACAGTTTTGCAAATGTAATAATAATGGTTAGTAGTGAAATGGTAGACATGAGTTTCATCTTATACAGAACTTGTAAGGTCAATGTTCCTGATTTGCAGATTACGTATATTAAATATGTTATTAGATTGCTGTAATTATTCAAACTATTTTGAATATTTTTTTGATTGAAATCATGAACCGATTGATGTTAGATCACCGTTGGAAACGTAGAAGTCGTGACCAGTGGGGCTAATCCATGTCGGGTAGAGGATGGTCATGCAATTTCGTGGATTGGTTGAGGTTAGACACTAACATCATTGGATGCCTACTCAGTGGTCTAGTAGGTTTAGCGTTCGCGAGCGAGACTGAAGGACCTGGGTTGGAATCCCGCGAGCACGATCGTGGATGCGCACTGTTGAGGAGTCCCAAAATAGGACGAAACGCCCGTCCAGTGCTTCCAAGTTTCCAACGGTGGTCTAACATCAATCGGTTCATTATCTCAATCAAAACTCAATAATCTCGACAACCCCTATACTGATATTTTGAATATGACAGATTCTTGACTAAAATAAAATCCATTAGCAAAGATTAACTGAATTATTTAAAAAACCGATAATCAATTAGATTTCGTACGAAAAAATGTCACTACAGTCTAATGAGGCTCGACATAAAATTACTAATAATAGACATCATAATGAAAATGTTTTAAAAAATAACAATCATATAGGATAAATAAGATTATATATAAGAATTATGCTTAGAATAATCAGTTACTTCAGTGAAGAAGCTTAAACCAGATTTTATTTGAACACATAAATATTGGTACAAAGGGACAACGAATATATATGATTCACACAAGTAACTTGATTTGCGTGTGCGATGGGATACTACCGGAGTGCCCAAATCAAAGCAGGTGGTTTGCTGTGGGGGCCACACTCGACATAAATGACTGATCCACAAGACAGTGGAGCAACGTCAGGAGATGTGATCGCATGACAGACGGTGATCAACTCCTGATTCATACGTTATTTGTTCCCTCAGGATCCTGGAGCCCATGTGAACCATTCGTTTAGAAATAGGGATTTCCAACTCCACTAGGTGGTTCCTCAGTGTCCACCAACTCTGTTAAAGTGTCAGACATTCACTTTGTGTCCTCTTAATTTCGTAAACAACAGTAACGCTACGAGAAAGCAATGAGTAGGACGTCTCTGGAATTGACCATATGAAAGTATTTCAGAAGTGAGAGCTAACTCTCCCCTACCTCGTCTATACCAGATCATTTGGAAGCCGGGAGAAAAGTTAGAATTATTTGGATTTAAATACAATTTTGACAGAACGTTTTCTACATGTATGGTGCTTAATTTCTATCAAATGGTTTATTCGAACTTTGATGAACATTTCATATAAAGTATTATACAATTGAATTCAATTATTAATTGAAATGCACACGTATCATAATTAACGACTATTTAATCTACATTATTTAAAACAAAATATCTGTCGTAGAATAGATATTATGTTTTCATCAATATAGACTTATTAGATAATGTGACTGATTTATTTATTTAATTTAGTATTTTTGTGGTTGTTTATTGTCTGTTTCGTACCATTTTCAATTTCGTATGTTGCTAATAATAATAATAATCATAACAGCCCTTCAAGAATGAACACTATAAATTGAATCTTTTAAATGTTTTACAGACTGTTTAGAAGTCAATAAAGTAATCGTTCAATGGCTTACTTAAGAGTATACAAATATACCCTGTTCAAGATTATTATGTCTGTCAGTGTTTGCTGATAGTTAAGGACATTAAGAATACGGCAAAGAAGTATATACAATGAGTTGAAGCAGCAAAACTACCATCGTAGGTTTGGCTATCCCCATGGCTCAGTTCATGAAAGTCATGGTCATGTGTTCATGCTGATTTTTCTGGATCAATAAATGATCAGAACATCTTAATCATCGTCAAGTTGTTTACAAAATATCATCAATAATCATGGTTCTGAATTTGAGTTTCTGGAAACCCTCCTTATGGAAAACGGGCCTCATTAACACTTGAAATCTTAGATTTCTGTTTAAAGAATGCGTTTGCACACGATCGATCATCACTCTATGACCCTCAGTCAAAAGGCCACCTTAAGTATTTTGTTAATGCGCTGAAACAAGTTCTCATCATAACATAAGGGGACGATATGATGAAGGAAGCCATCCAGAATTTCCTGGAAGCACAAAGAATAACTCCCAAAAGTGCCTAGACATAAGGAAGCAATGTTCGCGAGGAAAATTCGCACTTCATTTAACGCCATGTATT